TGTATGCGGTCAATAGCTCCCCTCTGCCCGAGATGAGTTTCTCTGGTTTCCTGTTGTGTAATTTACCTGTGCTTCTCCTAGGAGCTTCTAATGTGCAATTCAGACAAATTAGTTTAGTTATCTCAACCCTTATCTATAGCCTAGGTCTCTCTGCCCTTAACCTTTAGCTCCACCTTGAGGCTTTTTAAAAAACAACTCAAAGAAAGTCCACCTGAATTCAACCTCAGACACAAGAAAGGAAAGGGAAGATGAGGGCCCCTCTCTCACCAGTACTATCACCTGGCAGAGAAGGGCCGCGGGGCAGAGCCTGTGAGGTTTCACAGCCGCCTGGGTTCCCGGACATTGTCTTGCAGTCGGGTGCCGGGTACGGACTCGTCTGGCCCATGACTGGCCTATCCTGTCACGGAGTCTTCAAGTGGTGAGCACCCTAACGGCTCTTAAATGCTCATCCTGCGCGTGGAGCGGCAGTGCAGAGAGAGAGGGACAACCCCGTGGACGACAGAAAGATGCAAGAAGGAAGAAAACACAGCCAAGTCCTTCAAGCCACGGTGGTGAGGAAGCAATCCAAGTCCTCACACCATCATGTTGGCACAGATGTTAGCCAGAGGGGTCAGACCGCACCTTGGTTCAGCCACCTGGGTAGCTGAGTTCCGGCTGGAAAAGAATCCAGAGCCAGGCAAAGGTGACACCCTGTGGGAGAGGCGGGGGGGGCGGGGGAGGGCAAAGCACAAGATGCCCCAGGGTTGCCAGCTGGAGGCCCCAGAAAATGTTACCAAAAAGGGAGCCTGGGCCAGCTGTGTGGCTCAGTGGTTGAGCATGGTCCCATGGACCAAGAGGTCCCGGTTCGATTCCCAGTCAGGGCACATGTCTGGGTTGCGGGCTTGATCCCCCGTAGGAAGCGTGCGGGAGGCGCCAATCAATGATTTTCTCTCATCATTGATGTTTCTATCTCTCTTCTTCTCCCTACTTCTCTGAAATCAATAAAAATTCATTTTTTAATTTTTATTTATTTATTTTTTACTGTACAGCCCCCTTCAGTGCTCACAGCCCAAGGGTAAGGAGGCTGGTCAATGGTTTGAGGCTGCAACTTCCTCTGGCATGGGTCCACTATGAGAGGCCCAAAAAATTCATTTTTTTTAAAGGGGCGGGGGGGACCTGGCCCTGAGCGAGTCTGCCTAGGGCCGCCAAGTAGTGTGTGTTCTTGACTTGGTGCAGGAAGGATGTCACACCACGAGTCCAGGTGATTTTCAGAGGGTGTTTATTAAAGCTGGGGCAGTGCAACAAGGAGGGGGCTGGGGTAGAAGCAGCAGGAGAGCCACTAGGTGGGGAAGTGAGCCTCGGCCGGGCTGCTGGGCTCACTGAGAAGTTAGAGAAGAGGGGTCCTGTGGACAGGGTTGGGGTTAGCGCAGGATGAGCTGCCACTGCCCATTGCTCCCTGGTGGCAAGCCTCATGGGTCCCTTAGAATTTAGGAGGAGCGTGTTTGTGCGGGAAGAGGCGCAGGCATGCTCTTGGGAGGGAGAGCACTTGCCAGGTCCTTTGTCTTGAGGCTTCTCTCTCTCTAACATGTGGGCATTTAGGGGAGGTCCCAGGGGAAGTCTCAATAGAATACTCATCAGCTTTCCAGGGGTGTCCCTTCAGGGTCGGGGGCTCCACTGATTGGTGGGCGCCAGGGCAGGGGGGCGCTGGTCATTGCAGCTGGTCCTGGTGCCGCCCACCTGGATTCGCTGCTTTTCTGGGCCTGGAGCTGAAATACACGGAGGCCTCGCTGTGATCTCTAGGGAGGAGACTTCTGCGTCTGCTGTAAATTGCTGGGCCCGTTTGCTCAGCTCTCGGTCTCATTTTCCTCTCCCACGTCACCCTGTGAGAAGTTTGCCATGGTCCTCACACCCAGCTCAGAGCCCTGGCTCAGAAATTTTGCCTGGGATAGCATGTGGGTGCAGAACCAGTCACCTCAAGATGTGCTCCTGTCATGTGCAGATGGTTTTGAGCTACGTTAGCTGCAGGCTCTAGTGACACTTCTGTGCCCCTCCCCGCAACTCCCCAGCTACCTAGAAGAACTTGAATTAGGGGCCTTGCCCATAATAAGAGATTGTCAGAGATGACTTTTTTAAACTATCTACAGGGCAGGGCAAACTTCTATTTACTTAACATCTACTCTACTTATTTTCAATGCTTTTAAAAAATATTTTATTCCTGCCCTAACCACTTTGGCTCAGTGGATAGAGCGACAGTCTGCGGACTCAAGGGTCGCAGGTTCGATTCCGGCCAAGGGCATGTACCTTGGTTGCGGGCACATACCCAGTAGGAAGTGTGCAGGAGGCAGCTGATTGATGTTTCTCTCTCATCGATGTTTCTAACTCTCTATTCCTCTCCCTTCCTCTCTGTAAAAAAATCAATAAAATATATTTTAAAAAAATATTTTATTCCTGCCCTAACCCCTTTGGCTCAGTGGATAGAGCCTGTGGATTGAAGGGTCCCGGGGGCGATTCTGGTCAAGGGCACATGCCTGAGTTTCGGGCTCGATCCCCAGTGGGGGACGTGTAGGAAGCAGCTGTCAATGATTCTCTCTCATCATTGATGTTTCTATCTCTCTCTCCTTTTTCCTTCCTCTCTGACATCAATAAAATTTTTTTTAAAAAGATTCAAAATTTTTTAAAAATCTTCATCTACTCTTCTTATTATCCTGCAATTGTGGGGGCAGCAGGAATGGCCCCAGGTGTTAGGCCAGTGGGTTCACACCAGACCTGCATTCAGCAACCTCGGTACTTGAATTCAGAGCCAAGACTCAAACTATAAGGTAACATTTATTTATAAAATCACAGAGGTAGAAGTAATTCATGTAAGAAATGGGATCCCGGTGGTGCTGTCCTCTGGGGTCTGGCAGCTGGGCTGGTCCAGTCCGGGTGCAGGGAGCTGGCGTTCCTCACCCTTGGTCACACCTCGATCGGGAGGTACTAGCTGTTCTTCTGTCGTCTGGCAGAGAGAGGAGCGTGGAGCGGCGTCCCTTGCCAGACTGACAAAAGGACGTGCCTTTGTGGCTGTCTCGACAGGCGAGCACCGTTGGCTGGTCAGGACCCATTTTTAAAGCCTGTTCGCACCCGCAGCAGTTCAGGTGGCTATCAATGAATTATGGCAATGCACACATGGTCATCTCAAACAGGGCGAAGGGCTATGTGGTTATCTAGGGAGAGTACAACACTCACAGAAATGGTTATCTTAGCAAGTCACTCTGAGTCAGTAACTGAAGTTCAAATCCTTATCTATGGGGTACACATGCTTCAGGGCAATGGGGAATGTGTCCTTAATATCACACTTCAAGTTTCAAGAAAGTTAACTCAAACATTTTTAAACTTTTTAAACATTTTTAGATATTTTAAAAACATTTTTAAAACATTTCTATATTTTACTACAACAGTGCCCTTGACTGGAATCAAACCCAAGACCCTCCAGTCCTCTGGCTGAAACTCTAACCACTGAGACCCAGCTAGGGCCTAGGGATTTCAAGGGTGGAGATTTTAGGGGATGATCACAATGAATATTCATCAGTTCCCAGGTGTGTCCTTCCAGGGTGGGGGTCCCTACTGATTGACTGATTGGCACCATGGCAGGGGGTCGTTATCCAAGGCAGCTGGGTGTGAGGTCAGGATGGGGCTGCTTATCTGGTTTTGCTGCTTTTCTGGGCCTGGAACTGAATACAATTGAGACCTAGGTGTTATCTCTGGGGAGGAAAGGTCAGGGGTCCAAACCTCATGCCCAACGATATGCTGGGGAGGAAAGGTCACCTGGGAGCGAGGTCCCTCCCTCCAGTTGATTGTCCTTTGCTAGGCACCTGGGCTGCCACCCTGGTGACCTGTTCCTGGCCCTCGTCCTTCCTCTGCTCATATCTGTCTAACTGCCCACCACACAATGACTCTTTGAAGCCCCAAGTTCAGAAGGACTTACTTACCTACTCATCCCTAGTCCAGAAGGACTTACATACCCATGCTCCCTTTCTGTCTCTGAATCTCTCATGCATGTCTGCAGGGTTCCCAAACATATGTATGTGCTAAATTTGGTTATTTTTGCTGGTTAACTGTCTCATGTCTATTTGATTATGAGATCAGCCAAAAGAACACTGAGGGTAGAAGAAAGTTTTTCCACCCCTCAAAAAAAACTAGCCATAAAACAGAGAGCCCTACTCGCTTGCTGAAGAAACTGACCTCATTGGAAACAGAGACTGAAGATGTTCGAGCCTCCAGGTGTTCTCAAGGACAGCAGAGGTTCTGGAGAAAGGCAATCCAGAGATTCAAGAGTCAGGATGAACAGCAGGCTGGCCCGCGTGAAGGAAAGAACAAGGAAATAATACAAGTAGGTGGAGCCCTCCTGGGATCAGAACAAAAATCAAATATGGACCCCGCACACTATCCCTTCAAAGGAGCTGGGAGTTGATCGGATTAGTTTGTAGAGCAGTTTATGCCCCAGGGCATAGTTGAAAAAAAAACGGTAGAGATATCAGAGGAAAATAGAGCTTCCGTGGGTGTGGCCGGGGAAAGGAGGAGAAGCCTACCCAACCACCCCACCCCAGGGTGAGTGGGCGCTTACCCAGTGCCGGGTCTCCCTGGGAAACACAAGAGGCCGGACACTGTGGGGAGGACAGCGGCTTTCCTAAAAACCCTAAACAAATAAACAAGAAAATAAAAATAACACACCCCAGAGTAGGGAAACTCATACCCAGAGTTGCTACAATATATAATCTGAAATGTCCAATTTCTCACCCATCACCATATGTATATGACATGCAGACACACACACAAAATAAACGGGAAACATGACCCATGTACTGGGGGGAAAGGGCGGGGAGGGGGGTCAGGCAACCGAGACTGCCTGTGAGAGAGACCAGATGTCAGAAAAAGACTTTTATAAAAAGAAAGTATTGACTGATTTGAGAGAGAGAGAGAGAGAGAGAGAGAGAGAGAAACACTGATTTGCTGTTCCACTTATTCATGCACTCGTTGGTTGTTTCTAGTATGTGTCCTGACTGGGTATCGCACCCACAACCTTGGCGTATTGGGACAAGGCCCCAACCAACTGAGCTGCCTGGCCAGGGCCATAAAAGGACTTGAATGTGCTGCAGTCATTTAAAACATGTTCACAGAACTAACTAAAACCACGATTAAATAAGTAAAGGAGGTTATGATGACATGTCTCACCAAATAGAGAATACCATAGAGGGATATAAGGTGTGAAAAATAGCCAAATGAAAGTTAGGAGGTTGAAAGTATAATAAAAATTAACAGTTATATTCTATTTGTGTGTGTGTGCGTGTAATCTTTATGTTGAGAGTCTTACAGATATCCCCCATTTTTCCCCCATTTTGCCCTTCTACCAGTTGATGTGTCTCTCTCACGTCTATCTTTCTCTCTCTGTCTCTCCCCCTCACGTTGGGTGAGGATTAATAACAACAACAAAAAAGAAATATTCGCCTTAAATGAAACACTAGACCAAATGGACATAATTGACATTGACAGAACCTTTCATCCCAGAACATCAAACTATATATTCCTCTCCGGTGCACATGGAACATTCTCAAGGACAGACCATACATGAGGTCACAGAACTAGCATCGAAAAATACAAGATGCTTTCCCAGGCGGCTGCCAAAGACGGCGGAGGGCAGGGCCTGGTGCTTGATGGCCGAGGCCATCTCCTGGGCCGCCTGGCGGCCATCGTGGCCAAGCAGGTACTGCTGGGCTGCAAGGTGGTGGTTGTGCTCTGTGAGGGCATCACATTTCTGGCAATTTCTACAGAAACAAGTTGAAGTTCCTGGCCTTCCTCTGCAAACAGATAAACACCAACCCATCCTGTGGCCCTTAGCACTCCCGAGCCCCCAGCCGCATCTTCTGGCGGCCGAGCAAGGCACGCTGCCCCACAAGACCAGCGGCCAGGCCGCCTTGGACCGCCTCCAGGTGTCTGACAGGATCCCACCGCCCTATGACAAGGAAAAGCGAATGGGGTTCCCGCCGCCCTCAAGGTTGTGCGTCTGAAGCCTGCCCGGGAGTCTGCCTGCCTGGGGCGCCTGGCTCAGGAGGGTGGCTGGAATACCAGGCCGGCACAGCCCCTCTGGAGGAGAAGAGGAAGGAGAAGGCCAAGGTCCATCACCGCAAGAGAAAGCAGCTCGTGAGGCTACGGAAACAGGCCGAAAAGAACGTGGAGAAGAAAATCAACAAATTCACAGCGGTCCTCAAGACCCATGGACTCCTGGTCTGAGCCCAATAAAATTGACTGTTATTCCTCAAAAAAAAAAAAGAAAAAGAAAATATTTAATTAATAAATATAAATCACTATTCATGAGTAGTGTAGTTGGCCTCATGAAATTCCTTATTATTTTATTGAAAGTCTATATTATCAATATAGTAGTATGTCTCTTAAACATAATGATGCCTCAAAGGGGAAAAAAAAACACGTATTTAATAGGTAGCAGGCTCCAATATCAGGTAATATTTTACATAAGAAAGTTTACCTTTACTCATTACAGAGGAAAGTTTTATTCACAGCTAATATTAGTAGCATTGTGTGCATTTAATCATGTTTTTTAAAATTGCCTTCAACAATTGTATTGGGGTGGCAATTAATGTTTTAGGCTTATAATCCTCTCCAGGTCATTCACTTTATAAAAATAAAGTTTTCTTCTTGCACGGTCCGGTACCTTGTGATCGGAAAATGAATAAATTATTTTTAAAGAAAAAAAATTCAAGAAGACTGAAGTTATACCAAGCATATTCTCTGACCACGATGCCTTGAAATTGGAAATAACTGCAAAACAGAAGTAAGGAAACCCACAAATACGTGGAGATTAAACAACATATTACTAAAAAATGACTGGGTCAAAGAAGAAATAAAAGATGAAATCAAAAGATATAAAGAGACAAATGAGAATGACAATATCAAAACCTCTGGGATGCAGGGAAAGCAGTAATAAGAGGGAAGTTGGCTCTAACTGGTTTGACTCAGTGGATAGAGCGTCGGCCTGCGGACTACAAGGTCCCAGGTTCGATTCCGGTCAAGGGCATGTACCTTGGTTGCGGGCACCTCCCTAGTAGGAGGTGTGCAGGAGGCAGCTGATCGATGTTTCTCTTCCATCGATGTTTCTAACTCTCTATCCCTCTCCCTTCCTCTCTGTAAAAAAATCAATAGAATATATTTTTAAAAATAATAATAAGAGGGAAGTTTACTAGTATATCATTACAGGCCCATTTCAAGAAACAAGAGAAATCCCAAGTAAACAACATAACATCATGTCTTAAAGAGCTAGAAAAAGAACAAAAGCAATCCAAAGTCAGCAGAATAAAGAAAATAATAAAAATTAGAGCAGAATTGAATGAAATAGAGAACAAAAAGACTGTACAAAAAATTAATAAAACAGAGTTGCTTCTTTGAAAAGATTAATAAAATTGATAAACCCTTGGCTAGACTCACTAAGTAAAAAAGGAGAAAGATCGATATAAACAAAATCAGAAGTGAGAGAAGAGAAGTCATCACAGACATCACAGATACACAAGGATCACACTAGAACAGAGGTCCTCAAACTTTTTAAACAGGGGGCCAGTTCACTGTCCCTCAGACCGTTGGAGGGCCGGACTATAGTTGAAAAAAAAACTATGAACAAATTCCTATGCACACTGCACATATCTTATTTTGAAGTAAAAAAACAAAACAGGAACAAATACAATATTTGTATTTGCATGTGGCCTGCGGGCCGTAGTTTGAGGACCCCTGCACTAGAATATTATAAAAGACTACAGCCACCAAATTCAATAACCTAAAAGAAATGGGTAAGTTCCTAGACTAAATCATGAAGAACTGGAAAATCTAAATAGACTGATCAGCAATGAGGAAATTGAAACAACCATCAAAAACCTCCAAAATTAAAAGTCCAGGACCAGATGGCTTCGCCAGTGAATTCTACCAAACGTTCAAAGAAGGTTTAAAACTTATCCTTCTCGGAGGGAGAGACCAAGATGGCGGCATAGGTAAACACCGCAGACTGCTGCCGCAAACAACCACTTCAAAAATACAACTAAAAGACGGAACGGACATCACCCAGAACCACAGGAAGGCTGGCTGAGGAGAGACTCTTCAACTAGAAGGAAAAATAACAGCACACCGAGGCTCAGAGGAGGCGCAGTGTGGAAAATACTCAGGTGCGGAGGTGCGCGCGCAAAGCGGGCTGGTGGCTGAGAGCGCGGTTGTCGTTTTCGGTCAGGGGGGAGTCTCAGACTCTGAGCTCCAGATACGGGCGAATCGCTGGGGACTCGGACCCAAACGGGAGAAGCGGGAGTGTCTGGCATCAGTTGGAAGGCAGCTTTCCCTCCGAGGTTTGCAGCGGTTCCGGGGGTTCTGAGAAGCAGAGCCTCTGGGAACGGGACTGAGAGGGGCCATAACCGCTCCCTCCGCCCGCCCGCCCTGTTGAGCCCGCCCCGCCCAAGCCCTGCGCAGAGCCATTTGCCAGATCGCCTCAGGCAAAGGCTAGATTAGCACCTCCCCAGAGGACAGAAGTTTTCCGCGGCAGACACAGCTGATTCACACAGCCAGTCGGCCTGGTGGTCAAATCCCTCTAGTATTAACTACAACAATCAAGGCTCAACTAGAACAAGACTGCGCACAAAGACCACTAGGGGGTGCACCAAGAAAGCATAAAAAATGCGGAGACAAAAAAACATGACAGAAATGGAGGATATAGAGCTAAAAAACGCAATTTTGAGGGCTTGCAATAAACTTTTGGAGAGCTTCACGAAAACTAATGAGACCCTCGATGCTATGATAAAGAAACTAGAAATTAAGCATACACGCTCTGAAATAAAGAATATTACACCCAATAGCAGACCAGAGGAGCGCAAGAATCAAGCCAAAGATTTGAAATGCGAAGAAGCAAAAAACACCCAACCGGAAAAGCAAAATGAAAAAAGAATCCGAAAATACGAAGATAGTGTAAGGAGCCTCTGGGACAGCTTCAAGCGTACCAACATCAGAATAATAGGGGTGCCAGAAGATGAGAGACAGCAAGATATTGAAAACCTATTTGAAGAAATAATGGCAGAAAACTTCCCCCACCTGGTGAAAGAAATGGACTTACAGGTCCAAGAAGCGCAGAGAACCCCAAACAAAAGGAATCCAAAGAGGACCACACCAAGACACATCATAATTAAAATGCCAAGAGCAAAAGACAAAGAGAGAATCTTAAAAGCAGCAAGAGAAAGAAACTCAGTTACCTACAAGGGAATACCCATACGACTGTCAGCTGATTTCTCAACAGAAACTTTGCAGGCCAGAAGGGAATGGCAAGAAATATTCAAAGTGCTGAATACCAAGAACCTACAACCAAGAATACTTTATCCAGCAAAGCTATCATTCAGAATTGAAGGTCAGATAAAGAGCTTCACAGATAAGGAAAAGCTAAAGGAGTTCATCACCACTAAACCAGTATTATACGAAATGCTGAAAGGTATCCTTTAAGAAGAGGAAGAAGAAAAAGGTAAAGATACAAATTGTGAACAACAAACATGCATCTATCAACAAGTGAATCTAAGAACCAAGTGAATAAATAATCTGATGTACAGAATGAACTGGTGATTATAATGAATCAGGGACATAGAAAGGGAATGGACTGACTATTCTTG